GTCTCAATGGACTTGTATTGAAAATTTTAATTGAAGCTTAATGTGGTTGAAATATATATATATATAGACACACACAAAAGAAAGAAAAAGGGTAGAAAAAAAGAAAACGAGAAGACGGTTGCCGACAGGAAAGAGAGTAAAAAAGCAGAGAGAAAAGGTGAAAGAAAAAAGAGAGAAGAAAGAGGTAGTTAGAGACAGAGAGAGAGAGAAGAAAAAAAAAAAAACCACGAGATCTGCTGTCGGCAATCTCCCCACTCAGATCTGCCACATCTTTTACAATTTTTCAACTGATATTTAATTACTTACTAATTAATACTCGACGCTAATTTTCATATAATTGATACATGTAAATACCAGCATGTATAGATTCAATTTCCGTTAGTTTTCTTGAATTTTTTGAGGGCAAAGGGAGTTTTTAGAGCATCAGATGGACAAAGAGAGAAGAGTTAATGATGGAGGAGATTTTTGTCAGGTACATTGGTCCACAGAAGTGCCCACATCGTCTGCATCATCATCACCGTCGAGATCACTTCCGGTTTCATCTGAATCGTCCACCGTTGTAGGCGTAGGTGTAAATGGTGGTCCGAATTACATAGTACACCTCGTCTCTAAGTTTGATACCCTCGCCGGTGTCGCCATCAAATACGGCGTCGAGGTACATAATTCATATAATGTATTTTTTATCAAATTAATGATTTTTAATTTAATATTACCGATTTGTACTATTCATTTTTCTGTTATATTGGTTCTCGTATATTTGTTGTTTTATTGATATTGATACCTGTTGTATTTTTTCTTAGTATGTTATAGCAATGCCAATAATCCGGAAGATGTAGTATAATGTAGGCTTGTTCTTGAAGATGTAGTATAATGTAAGCTTGTTCTTGATGCTGCAAAAGTCTGTGTATTAGGCTAATATGCCTCTCTTTTTCTATCAAATTGAAAGATCCCCAAAATTGTAAATTTTTGGTTTAAAGTGCTTTTGTTTGCCCGTTCTACTTTTCACTTCTAAAATGAAAAACAAAACTTGAACTAAATGGCCTCCGCTTTTCGAGTTTTTAGGTCAGTACTCGCCTCTTCTTGCTGGCCTTCAACTCTCTAAACAGTTCCCCTTATCGGTATTTTCTCTACAAGTATAGCGGAGAACAAAGACTTGCTCTAAATTTTAAAGGGTTCAGAAGCTTCTTGACACGGACTCACTCCAAAAACTTACTCTCAGCATAATGTTGGGAAAGCCAATCCTGCCTCATGAAAAATTGGCTTTGAAGAAATGATCTCTTCTTAGTTGAGCAATCCTGATTGAGATTGAGTTGGGTAATTAGCCAATTGCTGCACAAACCAGCAACAAAGAAATGAACTTGAATGCATTCGCAAGTCGAAACTCATTCTATCTTGACCTTCTATATTTGGTAGTTTTTACAGACTCATACAGTCTTGACCTTCAGTGTTTGGTAAATTTTACAGACTCGGACCCAGTTGAATGTCTCATACGAGGCAGAGTTGAAAATTTTGGTAGAATTGTTCTACTCAGCCCCAGTCAAGTGGGAGACTACTTCACTGTGTTTGAATTTGCCACCCTTGATATCTATCCAATAAGGGATTGCAACATGCTCTAGTAAATTGAAATGCATATCCACTCTTTTTTTGCTTAAAACAAAACTGTCTCCAACCACTCCGAGTCGTTGAAGAACCGCTTTAATGGACCTGCTATCCTTTTCTATATTCTTTTTAGTTTATGTTTGTTAAAGATATTTGATACGACATTTGGGGGTTATTAAAATGCTGACTAGCCATACAAGGTTTTTTCTTTTATAAACTAAAAGGATGCCTTTTCACTTTTCACCCTCTTAATTAAATTCCTGGTGCCTTTAATTTGGCTTTTTGGTTATGAATTTGATTAAACAATTTTGAAAATTAGCAAGGTACAATCAGCAAAGAAGTAGGTATGCCATTGATTTCTCGAATCTCATGCTTCAAAGCTTGTCCCTTTCTCCTCCAGTAACTACTCATTACTGTTTTCTGTAAAAAAAAAAAAAAATTCACAAACTAGGAGCATGTGCTCGTAAGTGCATGTCTTTGCTTATAGCTTTTGGCTTATGTCATATTATTGAAATATCCTTAGATTGTTTTACTTGAGAATAAAGCAAAAACATAGATTTTTTTATGAATTGTCATTTGAAAAGGGAAAAAAAACCACGTTGCAGATCAATTTTTCAACTGTAGACTCACCCCTTGTTGAAGATGAGTGTTCCTCCGATAATGAAGGAGAAAATTTTGGATTTCAATGGTATTGATTTTTCCTTTCATATGGGTGGTAAATGTTAATAAATTGACAGATAAATTGGTAATTCACTTGGTCAATTCTTATAAGTTAGATAAGTTACGATGGCCAAGCTTATGAGTTTATTTTGATTTGGGCTAAAATATAACCATCCCCCTTCGTTATAAGCAGCATGTTTGGGTGGAATTTGGGCTTATAAGCTTGTCTGACCACCTTAACCCTGAGGGGTTGCTCAATTGGTCAGGCCTTGGTTTGCTCCCCAATGGTCATCAATTCGAGTCCCCTCAGGGCCACTGAGGTGAATACCCTGCCGTAAATTTCAGGGCCCCGTGGAATTAGTCGAGGTGCGCGCAAGCTGGCCCGGACATCCACGGTTATCAAAAAAAAAATATAAGCCCACCCAAACATGCTCAGAACCCCTCCCCAGCACATTTCTTTTCATTTGTGGTTTAAATTTTTTGGATGTAAGATTTGCTGATTTTCATCTAACTATGCATTTTTTGGTGGATGGGGTAGGTGGCAGATATAAAGAGGATGAATGGGTTGGTAACGGACCTCCAAATGTTTGCTCTGAGGACGATTCACATACCATTACCAGGGAGGCATCCCCCTTCTCCTAGCTTGTCCAACGGTCTTGACACTCCTCAACGGTATTTTTATCTTCAATAAGATTTTCTCGTCTTTTTCTATTTCTAAATGGCTTGTAGAATGTTGTGAACAATTTATATGCAAACTGATACAGTGTGCTGCCACTTCAATTTAGCTGGACCTTAATTTTTTTTGATGTATCTGTCATTAAAATTTTTCTGCCACATTGGTAAGAAAAATCCTTAGCAGCTCAGCGAGAATAGTATTAGTATTTACTTTTAATATTAGTGCAGGATATATTTCAAGAAAAGAAGTAGCAGGTCAGCTGATAACAATTTCATTCATTTTCTTGGAATGCTATGAATCAATAGCAACTGAACTTTGGTATTTGCAATGTAAATGGTTTATTAAGGAGAGTCGTCTTTACAGTTTTAAACCTCTTTGAAATTCATATTTAGGTTGTTCTCCTTTATCTTCTCCATTTTAGCCTCTTTAACAGCTTCGCATTTCAATGATTTTCTATTTTATTTTTGTAAAACTGTCATTGAGCTTTCTAACTTCCCATCACATTGCATGGCTAACTGCCAGCTGTTGATTTTCAGTCCTTACACATAAGCCTGAGAAATTGATACTTACAGAGCCTATGAAGTGTTAAGATTTGAGTATAGCTTAGATTACTCTGTTTGGGAGAACTAATTGTTTAAAAAGAAGTGATATTTTTTACTGGACTTAAATATGTTCCATGTAAAGTAAATGGGTCAATACAGTTAATTTAACTGCCATTAATTTGGTATGTGCTTTTTGCTATTTTTTTATCTGACTTATTGTTTTTATTAATGGAAAGTACTAAACTTGAGCAATATATACTCCTTGATGGTCATGGTGGAGTCCCCAAGAATGAGTTGTGCCTGCTGGCTGTTGTATTATTTTGCACCAGATAGGACTGATTAGTGATTCTCGGTTTGCTTTCCTCTTCTTCAAAATAAGGTTTTTCTTTTGTTTTTAGATCCCACAAAATATGAAGCTTTTATAGCAATGGCTAAGGATATTGGTGTAGCAAACTGAAGTCTATTTTTTTTTTTCTTTTCTTTTCTATAAAATGAAGAAGACAAATCAGTAATTGAGCTCAATATAAGTTCAAGGTCACTGCTTCATGTTTGTAACGAGGAAATTGACTCTTTAAGGCAAATATAATCGCAAATCCAGAAACAAGAGAAGCAACATTGCATTAAAACCGCAAACTAAGGAGTACACAGTCTTGCATTCACTGTTTCTCTACCATCTTATATTTTAGAACTATGTGGGTTAATACTTCTGCATTACTTTGACATTGAATCCATGTCACGTTGGTCTGCAATTGGTTGTCTGTTACTTATCTATCTATTTATTTTCTGGTTTTGGGTTGAGATCAGGTGGGGGGTCTAGGGAATTGATTTGACAGTCAATTATTAGGTTGGGGATTGTTTTGCATTATGGTTGTCTGCATCTCTCTCATGATTTTCATATTATATGAACTTTGGGGGCATGTGTAGCTGATACGCAGGAAGCAAGGACCAATATATTATCTAATTGAACTGAGGGGAGAGGAGAAATATGCAGGAACTATGAAGATTGGTTTGTCTTTAGATTATTGTCCTTACATCATTCTTGAAACTGTATTCAAACATGTTTTTGTGTAGATTCCAATTTTGATGGGTCCCAATTTCCTGGATTGTCTTTCATCATATACATTTCTATGAGAATAAACATGATTTCGTATCGTGACTATTTTAGTTGAAACTCTGGCATCAAATATAGATCTGGAACCCCTCATCACCTGCCAAAATAAATAAATAAATAAAGAAAAGAGGAAAAGGTAAAAAATTAAATAATGAGGTTTCTGAGCGACTTATTAATTAATTTCCACTTGCAGATCAAGCAGCTCTGAGCAGACTCCATCTGCCCGCAGGCACTCTGACTTGTTTGATTCACTTCAGTCACTGAAACTGAAATCTTCTTCGGGACAGAAAGTTTCTCCAGCCATGAGCAATCTTCAAGGTTTTTATGGCCTTAAACCAGCAGGTCTGAAAGCTGCACCAGAAGGTTTTGAAATGGCTGTGTATCGAAATGGAGCTGATTATCTAGAGGATGGGCCTCTTGGAAAATCGTCACACATGTCTAACCCACCGCTTAGTCATCATAGAAAATCAAAAAGTGTAGCTAGTGACTTGATGTCAAATAATGGTCATTGGATCAATCAGGTATTTTCTCAAGAGACTGAAGATAGTAACTTGGGTAAATGGATTGAGAAATTGACCCGAAGGCTTCCAAAATCTGAGGCCAACTTGACTTCGCACGCCCCAGAAAAGCTGCTAAAGGAGGATAACAGCAATAGTGGTGGATTTTCAGCTATTACGGGCAAAAGCTTGGCTCTCAGAGCTAAATCTGCTAGCCGAACTGCCTCGGGAATTGATGCTCAAGCAGGTGGGCCTAACCCATTTCCTATAAGTTTGGGGGATTCTTTTCTTGACAGTTTCGCTGCAGTAAGGAAGTCATCTAGTACATCAAGTTTGCAGGATTCAGACAACTGCACATCTTCATCCGTAAGACCCATGCCGAAGTGGAGTTTGAAGCCAGATTTTCAGGCCCTTTCTACTGCAGCCCTTTTTGACGGCCTTCCTAATCCAATGGGTCGAAGAAACAAGGCAGCACTTGATTAATGAAAAATAGTTAATCTATCAAGTTACACATTTTCTTTCAAATTATATTTACGTATTCATCGGTCAACGTGAGATAGCAGAAATGGAAACAGGGAAATTAGAGAGTAAATTACTATACTTGGATGGCATTGCATCTGAATTTTGGTCGAAGTATAATTAATATTCTTGGAGGGGGGGGGGGGGGGGGGGGGGAGGGGGGGGGGGGGGGGGGGGGGGGGGGGGGGGGGGGGGGGGGGGGGGGGGAGGGGGAGAGGGAGAATGCACTAATATAATAGGATTCGTTACAGTTCAAAGTATCTTGGAAGCAAAACTCCTAGTGTCAAAAAGAGCAAAAAGAAAACAAAATAAATCCTTGTAACTATTCCATCATCCAAGAATCCAAAATAATTTGCATGACACACATGAGAAAGCTTAACATGCATCAATAAGAATATACAAAGTATATAATGGACCCACATCATCTTCACCACCACACAACATTGTTNAAAAAAAAATCATTTAAAATTACTTGTGATTTAAAATAATTTCTCATCTATGGTGTCTCCAGAATCATCTTCTACACAATCTTCACTATTCTTGCCTTAACAAATGCTGCATTGCAACAAAATCAAAATTCATCAGCCAAGAACTCGGTTGCAGGGTCCTCGAACTCAGTCCAGATCAATTCCAACTCATTACTTGTTGCCCTTTTGGATTCTCGCTATACTGAATTATTAGAACTCGTGGAAAAAGCACTTTTGATGCAAACCCTTGAAAAGGCAGTGTCGAAACATAATGTTACAGTCTTTGCTCCCAGGAGTGAGGCTTTGGAAAGGGATTTGGATCCCGAGTTCAAGCGGTTTTTGCTCGAGCCGGGGAATCTGAAATCGCTTCAAAATATGTTGCTTTTTCATATAATTCCGATTCGCATTGAATTGACTCGCCGGCCTCTGGTCCGGTTCTTTTCTAAAGAGAACTGAATCTAACTCGAAATTTTCGAGTATTTAGTAAATAAAATCATCGGGTCTAAATTTAATTATGGAACCGTTCGTGTTCGCCTCCATTCGGTTCCAGAATTCCGTACAATAATTAAATTTTTTTTATATTACAACAATGTTACATCAATTCGACTATGACATATTCAATCTTAACTTTTACAAAATAATATAGTCCAATCTCGTGATTTTTTTGCACCTCTTTTTGTTGAGTTCTTCATAAATTTGACTTACAGTTACATGAAGATGAAAATTTAAATGTCATTTAGATGAAGTCCAATCTCATGTCATTTAAATGTCTCATGACTATAGTCATTTAAAACGATCGGAGTTATTTTCAGTTGTAACAAGAAAACGATTGGACTCATTTTTCAGATTCACATCTTGTTTTTTGATTATGTACAGGTTTTTCTATAAATTTTTAAAAGAAATATTTTGAAAGCAAACCAAACACAATTTAAAATGTTATACATTATAATTTAACTTATCCAAATCATTTGTAAGCCATATATTTAGAAATCAATACGCTATACTTGAACATTATTGGCAGAGCACGATAAATTGTATATAATGAAGTGCGTCTTCCTATTCATTTTAAAATAAATAGGTCAAATATAAACACAATCTATAATATTAGAAGCTTGATTCGCAACTTATCTTGCATTATATATTATTGTAAGTCGCATACTTTGAAACTAATTACGGTATACTTGAAAATTGTTAGTGGACCACAATGAATTGTATAAACAAAGTTCGTCTTCCTATATATTTTTGAACTAAATATGTTGAAATCAAACACTGTTTATAATTAAAAATTGAATACCGTCTTTCATTATACTTGATGGTTTAATTTATCGTAAGTCGTTTACTTAAAAACCGAATACAGTATACTTGAATAACATGTAGCGAAGCACGATGACTTATATATAACGAAGTTTGTCTTCTTATACATTTTAAAACAATATATTAAATATTGAAGAAATATATACCAAATTTAATTACAAATTCATAAAAAGATTACTACAAGTCTTACAAACCGATTATAGTTTTTTTGAATGACTGCAGTCTTTAAAAAAAAAAATGCAAAAAGTCATTTTAAAAGGCTCCAGTCGTTTTTAAAAAAATGACTAAGTCTTTTAAACGACTAGAGTAGGTTTAAAAGATTGTAGTATTTCTAAAATAACTAGATTCAACAACCAATATATTTGAAAAAATTGGCCATTGTCTCCCTTGTAACGTGAACTAAACCAACCTGAAAAAACAAATCACCATTCACCAAACACAAATTTCAAAATTCGAGTATCAACAAACACAAAATAAACTCATAATTTCAATTTTACTGCATTCACTTAGCCCCTGTTTGATACCCATTTTCTTTAAATTTTCTTTTTCTCTTTTTTCATTTCAACTACACATTTTTCAAATAAAATAATATTACACACAAATCTAAAAATTTTCATCACTTTTCCACCACACATTCTTATTTCTTCCATCAATCACTATTCTAAAATTTCTACTATCATTAAAATGGGTGCCAAATACTCAATTAATAAATTGTGTCATGACATATCCAACTAAAACGTAAGAATTAAATTCCACAATTTGCTCATTATCAAGTTTCATACGGATATAAATGCCACTAGTTTTAACTTTGCAGTCAAAAATGAAATGGGAAATTCTATTTGTACAATCTCTCAAATGCTGCGGGGTCCGCATGTTTAAAAAATGGACCATGCTACAAGTACATAATCTTTTACATAATAAATTACATAATTGACATGTGGCGTACATCCATCGGTAGTCTACAATTTTTGACTTTTCCACACTTCACATCCACGGTCGAATTTCTTCCACATGGGCCTATGTAATCCATTATGTATAATAATTATGTACATATAGATTTATCCTTAAAAAATTCAAAAAAAAAGTGGACCTCTCCATGCGAGAGGTTGTCAACCGAGGTTGTACAACTAACATGGCTCAAATGAAATATAAAACCAACCAAATAACCCATTGACGATTGTACCATTATTCATGTATAATTGTCAATGAACAAATTTAAATAGGTCTGTTTGTAAATTTTCAGGGACTCATAGTTCAATTACAAGAATCCAATTCATCAAGGAGGGGAAAGAAAAATCAAAATGCAAAAGAAACTTAAACCCTAAAAAAGCAAAATTGCCTATAATTTTATAAAACCAATATTAGCTTCTTGAAAGTGAAGAACGTCGATATAATTTACCTCAAAGTGAAAGGAATGAAGCAACACTTTTTTTTTTTAACAAGAAACAAACGCTTATGATATGGGATTTCTTTTTCTATAGGATGAAAATCGCTACTCAACTGTGATATGAGGAGAAAATTATTCTAATTTGGGATTTCTTCTATTTGATTTTTATAAATGCTTAGATTAGGAATAGCTTGATTTTCTAAGAGAAGAAATGGGAAGAATCGAGAGAACACGAGGAAGAACACAATGAAGATAATTTATTTGAGGGATGTTTGATTCTCATTTTTCCTAAAATAATTTTTTTTTTTTTTTTCAACCATTTTTCATTAAAATAATATTACATGCAAATTTAAAAAAAATTCCTTTTTTTTAATCACACATTCTCCATTAATCTACTATTTTAAAATACATTTTTAAAAAAAATAATGGGCCTCAAACACCCCTTTGGTAGGTTTTGAAGGGTAAAAGAGGAAATATCAATACTAATATTTTGTTCATATTTTTTTAAATATAAAATTTGGTCAAAGGCTAAAAAAGGATTTCATCTGGGTCAAAGGTCCCTTTACCACCATCCTCACAAAATGATAGTCATTTTGAAGGAGGAAAAAATGGAGGAGGAAAAAATGTTTTTTTTTTTTTTTTAATGTGAGGTAAAATCGTGTTTATCAAACTCGATTTTTGCTGACTGTGCTAAAGATGCCATTTTTATTCAAATTTAACAGACGTTAGATGCCACATCGACTAATGAAATGGATTTTTCTAGGTTGTGGATGGAGTGCTAACGGGTAAAGTTGAGTAAGTATTGTGAACAAGAATGAAATTTGAGTAGTCCATGACATTGGTATAAATTCAGTGATTTTTGAAGTAATTCACTCAAAAATAAGTAAATGAAGGAAACAATGCGGGAAAAAGTTGATATCTTAATTCCCACTTTGTTGTCGTCCCTAGCGAGAGTCTGTACTTCTGTAATTAATGAAACTTAAAGAAGGGAATGCACCATTTTTGAAGCATAGAAAATGGGATTAAAGCGTGTGGACTTCATTATCATGTGGTGTTGAGTATCACTATATAGCATCACTAGTGTTTGATACTAATTTAGGCGACAGTGTGATGCACTGTACAAATGATAATTAATGTACAATTATGTTACATGTACATATTTTTTTATATCATTTTTGACATTATATCACGTGGCGAAACACGATTGAACAGTTTTAAAAAAAAACCAACTTTTCCGTCCAACACATTTTGAACTCCAACAATGTACAACAAGATGTAACCCATAAAACATACACTTAACATAATTCTTAATTGTATTATTTAAGTTCTAACTAATTTTAGGCCATGAACCTACCTGTCACCTGTATAGAGGTACTTAAATGTAAATAGGAACTTGTTTGACAAAGAAGAACAAGAGCCAGTAGTTAAAAGTATATGGAACCGTCGAATCCGACCCAGGTCCGGTCCGAGTTACATTTTTTACTAACTTTGCAACGAACCCGTTCTTAACCCTCTTGAACCGGTGGGTTTAGAAACCCGCTGACCCAATCTTTAAGTGAACCAGACAGGCCACTTATAAACCCAAAAATGAAATTCCAGACTTCTCAACAATGAAATCCTTCAGCCGTCTATCACAATGAACTGAATATCGTGCTATGTTTATGGCAGCTTTCTTCTTGTCACAATACTGCAACACAGGCATATGAGTTAAGATGTGTAAGCACTATTTTTATCCAAAGTACCTCACAAATCCCTTAAGCCATTGCCCTAATTTCAGGCTTTACGCTAGACCGAGCCACCACTGACTGTTTCTTACTCTAAGTGACATGATTAACTCCAAGTGGATTCAATATCCTGTAATAGATCTTCTATCAGCTAGAGATCCTGCCTCGAAAGCATCAGTGTAAGCCTCTAATCTGAGATGTTAATGGAAAATGTATAAATTTACGCACAACACTAACCACACCATATCAAGTATGAGAGATAAGTAAGCTTTTCCAGCATCCTTCGATAGTTTCCTCGGTCCATTGGAGGTGCCTTCCTTGTGTGTTTGGTTCTATCAATTTATACTAGGAAAATGGATTTACCCTGTCCTATTATTTGTTTTCCTACTTGTAATAAGATTGTCGGCCATCCATCCACATTATTTTCGCTATTATTGTTCTTTTATATTTTTATTTTTCTATTGTTATGGGGTTTTTTTTATAAAAGGAGAGATCTTGATGCCTGGTGAATTTTGAAGTTGCCCAAAGTGACCTATTTTGACGTGTTCATAAACTTTAATGACTAAATTGGTCAAGAAAACTTTAATGACCAACGTCGTAGTTTGCTTCAAGTTAAGTGACCATTTGTGAAATCACTACTAAAGTCTGTTTGAGCCTCACTTTTTTGATTTTATTGCAAAAAATGCATTTTGAAATAGTGATTTTGTTACGGATCGGTGTCGACCCTCCACCTCGACGCCACGTGTCAGCAGAGGTTGCCCACCGTAACACGCGTCGCTGAGGTGATTACCCCATAGGACGATCTAAGTGCACACATCGAAGTGATTACGTGAAGGACGAATTGAATAGACGCCAGCGAACGAACCGGACTCATCCGCAAACATATCGCGAATGCAAAGGCCCGCACTCAGTTCCCATAACGCTGCAACGCCTCACCTGCCTCATCAAAGATCTTTTCGAAGTCAAATCACTGACCTATGGGACGCGTGGCAAGACTCAAACGGTCAAATCAGTTGCTCGTGTCAGAAATATTCAATGCCAGCCACCCTATGGAGTGATGAATTGATACCTAGGATGAGACGAACTCTGGAGATCTAGAAACGTGTGTCTCCTCATCCAATGGCTCTCTCCTTCCCATCCTTGGTATAAATACTCACTTCTTATTCCTGAAGAAGGATGGTCTTTTTGGAATTCAACACACTCCAAACTACTACTACATTGAGAAATTAAGTACCCTCTTCTCTCAAATATTATTATTTTGCGATACACACTTTATCAACCACTTCTCTGCGAGTGTTTCACCGCCGATAAAATCTTCTCCGGTTGAGCTTCAAACTGACTTAACCGTCGGAGTGCTTGCCGCCGCTCCCAACCTTTCTTGGAAAGGCCACGAGTGACTAACGACGTGCCATGTGTGCAGGAAGAGTTGACTTGAAAACATTTTCTATTGGCCACGTGTCGGAGCCATTTTTTGAGGTCAATAGATTTGATTAAGAATGTGTTGTTAAAAAAAAAATTTGAATTTGTGTGTAATATATTTTATTGAAGAATGTATTGTTGAAAATAAGAGAGAAAAATGTATTTTGAAAATAACGAGGATTAAACGATGGCTAAATTTATTAGTCTATTTGTCTACGTTGCCATTTAATGAAAGGTACGTCTGGCAATCTTTCAATTTCACTAAGAGTATGCTTGATTGGCATGTAAAATATCTCCTAAAAGAAAATGTTTTTCTTAAAAAAAGAAAGAAAAATTAGGCATATTTTCAAAAGTTGAAAATACAATCAAACACACTCTAATAGATTGTCCTAATCTAAAAGTTTAGTAAAATTCAGCTTCATTTATCCCCTGTTTGAGCTCCATTGTCATTAATTTTTGGGTAATGATAATTTTTTGAAGAATATGCGGTTTAAAAAAAAGTTTTGAATTTACGTGTAATATTATTTTATTGATGAATGTGTAGTTCAAAAGAAGAGAACGAAAAATACATTTTTATATTAATCATGCTACAAGTACATAAAAACTTTCACATAATTATTATAGAATTCCACTTTGTGCATTATCTTTGGTTTTTGTCCAAAAAACAAAAGGCATTGTACATGTGCTGTCAACACAACACTGGTACGGTGTCTGTGTGAAAAACCCTGTACACAAGAATTAATTATTTTTATATTAATAGAGCCCAAACGGCTTACTATTTGCAAAATTAACTCTTGAATAAAAGATATAAACGCAAAATAAAAGTATGGTTAGAGAAACGAAAGAAAGCCTCGTGTGTGTTCATGCATAATCTAACTTGCTAACATGCCAAAAGTAGCAGATCCACTACTTTAAAAATGTCGTACAATGACTTCATTATATTTTTATGAGATATACCTTAAAATAAAAACCGTATGTTGATCTCTAATTTAATTGTCTTGGCAATATCTTCATAACCTTCAAAGCTAATAAAAGGGATTTGAGGAATCAAAATAAAAAGTAACTAGTTTGTTATTATTTGAAACTTGACAAGCAATATAATTTCCTATAAAAAATCAATGGCAGTTAAAAAATAATTTAATACACTACTATAAATATTGCATACACGGTTTCAAACTTTTATCATCGTGTAATTACGACGTTATCAATATTGTCAAATGCATCATTTTCAATATGCATAATTAGACTATTATTCAACCCTTGATTTCCAATCCAATTGCTTTATTCAAACCTTGGATTGAGAGATTGAGACGTCTGATATTGAGGTAGAGAAAAAGTCACCGCGTGGATGTCAGTGCAAATGAATTGAGTATCAAAAACAATTATTTGGTGAAAAATAATAAAATAGATATTGAGAGAAGAATGAGTTTCGAAATGTGAGAGAAGTGAAGGGAAAAAAACTTATGCAAATAGGTGTAAAGTAATCAAAACGATCGTGCTACATACATCACAATTTACATATTTATTTATTAAGAAATGATGCGACGAGATTTAGTCAGGTCAAAATCTCATCAACTAAATAAAAAAAAATCTCCACTTTATTTTTAACATCTGACTATCTGTAAAAATATTACGTAAACGATGATATACAGCAAACATTTTTTTTAATAAAAAAAAGAACAACAAAAGTTAAGAAATCAATGTGGGTCAACTGACCTCACATGAGGACACGTGGATCTGATCCTATTTGTGGGCAAATCGTCATTTGACAGTTCAAAAAGGTGCACACCAAAGTTTTGTGGAGTATACATCTAGCATTTTTATTGCAGTTGAAACCAACTCAGCATCTCCTATTCCATTCCAGATTCGGCAAAATTGAGGTTTATTTACAATGGGACAAGATATTTTGTCATCCCTAAATTGTACGGTTGCAGTTGATCCGACTCGTGCATTTCCTGCCGAGTTAGGGATGCAACAATGTGGGGGCCAAACTGAACATTTTGCCAAATGTACTATACATAGAGCTTAAATTTGCAGTCGTTCTTTTTTTATTTTTAGGGGCATAAACTCAACGGGATTTATCCGAACCACCACTCATTCTCGTCTCGTGTGTCTTGTGAATCCCAAAATTTTTTAGGGTTTATGCAGATCTTGCTATCAGATCTATTGTCTCCTTCACTTTCAGGTTGTACTTGTCTGCCTCCATTCCTATTGGCTGAATCCAAGAATAAATCAGCTTATAAGGTGAAATACATCTGCTCCTGTCGTCGTTGCTGACGCCAAATCCATGATGGAAGGTTCGATTTTTACGATCATTTAATAATCATATTCTTGTGTTTTTAAGTTGGTAATTCTCTCTGAATGTTGATTTACAAAATGTATATGACGAATTGATATTATTTTGTATATAGATAAGAGAAAATTGGAGGAAGATGAAGAAAAACAAGTTGGGGCTAAGAAGCAGAAAAATGATGATGTAGCAGCACTAGAGGAACAAAAGAGTGAGGTCAAGATTTCAGAAAACGAGGTTTAAACCTTTTCTATTTCTTCTTCTTTTTTATATTTGTGGAGACAAATTCTGATTGGAGCCAAATTCCATTTTTGTACAAGTCTGTTGTGAAACAATTAGTTTAGATTGGCTTTGCGTGCTAATGTTCTACCATGTGGATTAGTTATAGTAACTCTCTGTGGCCCGAGTGGGACAACTCTACCTTGAAGCTTAATGTTGCTCATAGGATTACTTGGAAGAGAGAGTGAGTGAGAGAGAGAACCCTTAAAAATGGGCATGAAGAGAGTCAATAAGTTATTTTAAGTTTTTTTTTTTTTAATTGCTTATTCTGTAATGTCAATTTCTATTAGTAGTCTGCATATAGTGGGGTGTGTTAGCCTATGTTTTCTTATGTAGGTCCTGAAGAGAAATGTATTAGTGCCACCCGAAAAGGAGCATGGCCCTGTGGATCGGATTGAAAACAAAATTAAACCAGATGGTTTAATTTCAGAAGATGAAATTAGTGGCTCAGCAGAGGATGCTGGTGCGTCTGAGAAGGTTCCTGGAACTGCTACTGAGAATGACCTTGTAGCTGCTACCAAGAAGAAAGACTACGCAAGCAATGGTTCTGGTTCTGTTTCTGAAGATGAGGACGTTGCTGTAACCAAGAATGTTCTTGCAGCTGTGTCTTGTGGTGAAGATGCTACTGCAACTAAAAACGAAGGGGGGAGAATTAAAGAAGAATCTGAAGAGGCTGACCCTCCAAATATTCAAGGGATAAAGAAGGTACGACAAATTTTAGCACTGTGTAGTACTTTTTCCTTATATAAATTTCCAGGTTCATTACATTCATGCTTGGACTTTGTTGGCAGTCTATCTCAGTCTCAGAGAATAGCAATATGTTAGAGGAGTCTCCTGAAGAGGATGAAGAAGTTTCTACTGACAGAGAGACAGAAGACCCTTCCCGAAACCTCGAGAAAATGGTAAATGCAATTTTCAGTGAATTAACCATTTCCACTACTTGAGCTTATGCCTCTCTTTCCACCTCCCCTTTCACGAGCTTCTGTTTTTTGTTGTGCTCCATGGATTTGTAGAACCAATGAACTTTGTTAGCACTGCTTTTAGCGGACTTCTGAAGCGATGATACATGAATTAATTGCCATATGCTTATATGTGTGTGGACATTGGTTTAGTTTGGGCTGTGAAAATTGTGCCTGGATTGCTATGAACAAACAATCAACTTTTCCTTCTGAAGATTTGGCTCTGGGTCATACTTATATAAGGTTTTCTTGTTGAAACAGAATACTGATGTAAAGACGATTGATGCTACACGTACTACGCCAAATTCAGAGAAAGGGGGTTCCCTACCTGTGGAGGCTGTGAGTGCTTATGTTTTGTCACACATATCATTCACGTATTTGTGTGTGCTTGTGTAGAAAAATTTAAATTCTTTTTCTTTCCTGGTGACATAGGATTCCATTAGAGTACTTTTTTTTGGGCATGCCTTTAGTTTTAACCTTAAATCTGCAGCCAAGGGCCCCTGCAACTCCGAGAGTTGAAACTACGGGCTCTAAAACTCTGTTTCTTGGGAATCTGTGCTTCTCTATCGAGCGGACTGATGTGTATGTATATCGCATTCTTAAAGATCTTGCACTTAAGTAAAAATATTTGCTAAGAATTAAATAACATCACAGCGAGGAGTTTTTCAAAGACGCTGGGGAACTTGTAGATATTCGCTTCGCTATGAATGAAGACGATACATTTAGGGGATTTGGCTATATTGAGTTTGCTACTGTGGAAGCAGCTGAAAAGGTATGCTTTAACTTCATATTGTTAATTGAATCCAATTTTAAGAGATTCTTGTGCATGCATAAAAGTATCCAAATTTATAATGTTACAGTTGATAAAGAATATAGGAAGACTTCAATTGTTTGTTTATAAGTCTTTAGGGGACTCTTCAATTTATATTTATTTTGAATAGAAGTTAATAAAATTGCTTGAATAAGTTAGGGTGCACATTATTTATTTGCAGGCCCTCCGGGAATTAAATGGTAAACATTTGCTGGGTCGTCGGGTGAGACTTGACTTCAATAGGGAAAAGGGATCCTACACACCACATAGTGGGTATGCCATGTGTCTATATTTTGTACGGTTTTACAGTTATGTAGATGTGTCTACATTTTACATGGTTTTTATGATTTTTGTAGATGATTTTAGATTCACATACTTGTGTTCTTATATGCAGCACAGGGACAAGCTCGAATCAGACGGGAGGGAAAGCTCAAGGGCAAAAAATATTTATTAGGGGGTTTGATAAAAGAAACTGTGAAGAGAAGGCGTGTGTTGCTCTTACGTATCCCTCACTCTTGAATCAATTGTCTCTCCATTATAGATTTTCTGAATTTATGAATTAATGATTGCAGATTAGAAGTGCACTGGGAGATCATTTTGTATCTTGTGGGGAAATTACAAAAATTTCCATTCCGAAAGATCAAGATGGTGGTGTTAAAGGGTTTGTCCACCCCCTTCTCCCTTCCTCCCTCTTCTTATAGGGTACTTTATCTGAGTTTCCTTTTATTGTTTCTTGTAGTATTGTTAGTAAAGAGCTTGCAAAATGCCATTTTATGTTATGTGATGCATTGATCGTCATAATGGATCCATGGGTAAAATGCCAAGATACTTGTGAAGGGTGAAGCACCGACACTCCTAATTTTGATAGTTTTGACTGTACTTTTCTTTTATATGGTTACTTAGTGGTACATCTTCAATCTTATATCTTATGTATAAGTCACAAAATTATTTGGCCTTTCATGTTGATCCTCCCTTTCCTTTTTAAACCCATCTCTGTTTTTGGTACATCATTCATCATAACCCTATGCATTGAAGATTCATAGGAGTTGAGATTTTCTATAAAAAATGGTTGGGTCATTATGTTGTTTGATCCCTTTGACCCGAATCATTTAGGGTTGGCTGTCCTCAAATTTTAGACCATTCTGTTGTACCAATTTTTCTTTTTTCCACATGTTTTGTGAGGTATCTGTATGCCATATTCCACACTTGATATGTGGCCTTTTGATATTTGGTATATGTGATCAATTCCCATATTTTGAACAACAGCATAGCTTATATTGATTTCAAGGATGCCGATGCTTTTAACAATGCTCTGGAGCTCAATGGTTCTAAATTTGAAGAGGCTACCTTGACAGTGGAAGGGGCAAGGCCTAGAGATGATGGTCGTGACAGTGCTTGGAGTGGCAGGAGTGGTGGTGGTAGATTTGGAGGTCATCGTGGAGGTGGCCGTGGATATGGTGGTCATTTTGGAGGCGGTGGCCATGGATATGGTGGTCATTTTGGAGGCGGTGGCCATGGATATGGTGGTCATTTAGGAGGCGGGGGCCGTGGATATGATGGCCATTTTGGAGGCAGCCGTGGATATGGTGGCCATTTTGGAGGCGATGGCCGTGGATATGGTGGCCATTTTGGAGGTGATGGCCGTGGATATAGTGGTCGGTTTGGAGGCGATGGCCGTGGACATAGTGGTCGGTTTGGGGGTGGTGGTAGAGGATGGTGATCTCTCTGCAAGCCAAGCATGGCTACAGTTGGAATTGGTATATACTTCCATCATTCCCCTTTTTTTTCAATATCAGAGCATGTTGTGTAAGCTTAAGAAGTTTATTGGTCAAAGTTGGAAATAACAGTAAGAAAATAGTAAGATATCAAAACATGTTTACAAACAAAAATCTACTTAAAAAAGTAAGTTACACATTTTTCAATGCCCTTTCTAATTCTGGTATGAGTTGAGATTTTGATTAGTGTAGACTTACATGTCCGTTGGTGATATATGCTCCTATTAAAATATTTTTGATATCTTTTGTTTCAATGAAGCAGTTGCAGGTGAAAAAATTTAAAGAATTACAGTTGGTCTGAACCTGAATTGGCTTTTAATCGTCTTCTATTGCGTTTAATTGAAACAGAAATACATCTGTTAATTAATAAATGAATATTGGACTGTGTCAGTGACCGTTATTATATAATTAGTATTGATGGAAGTTCAAGCTTTAGCTTGCTATGTTGATGGAATGGTTTGCTTACTGATCTCATTGATTTCTCACTTTGCTTTTCTATTTTGAAGTTATGAGATGGATGTGTTATTGCAGGAAAGAGGATGGACGAGAACAAGTAAGCTTAGGAGTACTAGAGAAAGAGATGAGATTGAGAGGAGCTATGAAAAAGGAATCCCTGTGTGCTCCTCTGGGATTTGAGTTAAGTATTAAAGCTTTTTCATTCTTCTCTAGACAATCTTTTTTGTGGGAATTCGTGAAGTATGTTAGCTAAATACTTCGAATTTTATGTAATATTTTTCAGTGTTTTATGGGTTTTCTCGTGGACGCTATCAATTGTGGTGGCTTATAGAATCGCTAATTAGGATGAAAGCTGACGGACTGTCTTTAAGTAGACTATGGATCCGTTGAATCTTATGTCAAGATTTTGTTATAATCCTTCACTCTAAGCACCACCAAGGCAAAGGTCATGAAGAGAAAGTAATGAGCTTGGCTTAAAAGCATTTTACCTAGGATCCCTCAGGGGAAAGGATGAAGTGAGGCCAATTTTGTCATCTGTAAAGCTAGATGGTCTTTTCATCGGTAGTAATATCTTATCGGTGTGTCCAGGTTGTGATTCATTGGGGGTCAGTTGCAGAAATGGTGGTAGAGAGTGCCGCCCGCCCCACTGTGTGCCGTTAAGTTTTCTATGTAATGAAAGGTAGTAGGAGTCCAAGCTTGATGCTGATCTCCCGTTCCTACTTCAGCTCATTCACCTAAAAGCCTTCAGCTTTACACGAGGGCTGATATTTTGTCTTAAAATAAGCGAGACCATTTTTATTTTATTGTTTTAACCTGCTCTAGCCGAAGTTATGCTCGACTGTCCCGAATTTGATATATTGGACCACGGTTACTAAAATTGCAGAGCAAATGTGGTAAAAGTAGGAGGATTCTTTCTCCACAATAAGGAAGGAAATGCTTGAATTAGTCAAATTTGAATGACTAAATTTTAGGAATTCTAAAAATGAATAATCAAATACTAAAGATATATTTAAATTATTTTTTATATTAATACCTAATTTGTGAATAAAAATGAAATTACCTCGTTTCCTTTTTATAAAGAAAACTTAAAAAGCATTATTTCCTCTCATTTCTCACAAGAAAAACAAGCGGAAGATCAGGAGTCCTACCCCAGAATCAAAACCTTCTACCAAGACATAATAGTGAATCTCTTGCTAAACATCCAGCATCCACCAACAGTTGACGTAGTTTGAAGACTATTGCTATCTAATATTAGTGATGCTAGAATATTAGTCTAGATAGCCACACTAAGAGCCTGTTTGGTAGAGTTTAAAATCGGATTAAAATTGAAAAACTAGCTGTTATTAGACGAGTGGGATTCAATAACTGCTATATTTTCAATTTTAATTAAATTTTAATCGATATCAAACGGGCTCTAAATATGTTCAATTAAATAAATCACATGTCGTTGCATTTAAATAATCTATCGTATGTCATACAATTGCCATCTAGACTGAAGTTGAATTGTATCACTCTAGTTTAAAATACAATCATCAAAAACCTAATTAAATTTCCGCGTAGTACAGGATATTTTTGGCCAAGCAAGCCTAGCATTAACTCTTGGGGACAGTAAATGATTGGATCTTACTCTACGTATATCAAGATTTACATAAGAAATTACATGATATGACATGACACTTCATCGTTTGTCAATTTAAAACATAATTAACTTTTTCATCCAGCACTTTCCCTCCACATCATATTATATAATCCATTATGTACATTTTTTATATATAAGTAGCAAAATTCTAAATGATTTATATAAGATTCTAAAGCACAAATATTGACAATGAGAGTGATGTCTCAAAAGCTTAAAACCAAAAAAACTATGGGAATTGACTATTCTTGAAACTCGAAAAATGAAAGAGTACCAAGAGTTGACGAGGTAAATGCAAATGTTTACAGTAATGTTATGTTTTTGAATAATGTCATCTAACACAAGTTTATGCAACATTGTGTGATAGATTCAATTAAAGATGAAATTATGTAATTTATTTAATCAAATCTATAATTTAATATCGCTAGTGATGCCACCTAAATTGATGTTAAACATCGGTAATACTAAATAACATATCTCTATGTTTTTGGGTGGAGGTGGAGACCAGCCTTCATGGTTATGGGGATAAAGATTGGTAGAATAATCCTAAGAAATGAAAATATAACTAGTTAACGGCCTAATTTTCACATATTTTTTCCTTAGTTTCTTGAAATAACGTATATCATAGATTGTTAAAAGTATTTGCACTTTAGCCTCTGAACTTTCTAGAAATCGCTAAAATATCCCAAACCTTGGTATATTTTCTCGACTAACAGTATATTTTAATTTTAACCTTTAAAATTAGCATATTCCTCTTTTAGTCCTAAACTTTCAGAACTTCATAATTAAGTCCATATCACACTACACAGAATTTCGAAGAATTAAAGACACCTAACCCAGATAAAATACAGACTTGGATGCAAACCCCTGTACATATAAATCAAAATATAAGAATAATTATCTAAGTAAATTTAAATGAGCGTTTAGCAGATTCAAGAGTGTTATAAAGCAGCATGGCAACAGTCATTGGTCCAACTCCTCCTGGCACAGGCGTAACTGCAGAAGCTACCTTTGATGCTTCCTCAAAACAAACGTCTCCAATGAGCCGATAACCATGTTCACACTCAGGATCCTGCGAGTATTCCAACACAAATAAGAGAACAAATAAAAGTAGGATATATTTTATCATTCAAGAAACTAGATGTCACCTCAACCGGGGTAGTGCCAACGTCAACAACTATTGCACCAGGCTTTAACCAACTCCTGCACACCAAATTGGGCACTCCAGCAGCTGAAATTAAAATATCAGCTTCACGGGCAATTTTATCTGGGTTTTTCGTATATGAATGAATAACGGTCACGGTGGCATGGTGCCTCTGCTCAAAAGTTGAAAATTTGGATATTTAGTACAGAAGTCAAAAATTGAGCTGAAGATTCTAAACATTAACCTGAAGTATAAGAAATTGTGATGATAGGAGGTGAACTTGGAAGTAGGAGAAGAGAGGAAGAATAAATGTGATATTCACCTGCAGCAGCAAGGATGTTGGTAATCCAACAACATTGCTCTTCCCTATCACCGCAGCCTTCTTCCCCGTTATTTCAATGCCTGAACGGAGCAGCAACTCAATGCAACCCTTTGCTGTACAAGGAATGAACAACGGCTCCCTTCCTAGCATAGCCAAATTCCCAATGTTTACAGGATGGAATCCATCAACATCTTTTTCCAAGGTTAGCAACCCAAGTATTTTTCCCTCCTCCAAATGCTGTTCCAGTTACATTTTTTGGAAAAGAAAGCCCGACAGTTGAGTTAGACATGTTGTACTAATGACTCTACAAGATTTTCCTTCAATAGTACCGATAGTAAGGTCAGAAAATTTACCCGTGGCAAGGGAAGCTGCAAAATAATACCATGAACTGATTGATTTTCATTGTAACTTTGTAAGGCATTGCAAACTTCATTTTCTGTACAATTGTCCGAGAGTGTTGTCATCATGAACTTAATGCCAACCTCTTCACTCCCTATTTTTTTGTTACGGACATAGGTTTGTGACTCTCTTCGTTGACCCACGAATATGACAGCCAATCCAGGTACCTGCCCAATCAAATCCTTCATCCTCTTCACTTCAAGTGCTATGCCTGATCTTATTTCCTCTGCAATAGCCTTCCCATCAAGTATTTGAGCAACATGTTTGCTTGCTGTCATAAAAAACATAGGTATCTTAATGAAACTGGTTCTTTTTGTTTGTATGTTTTCAGGGAACGATCCAGTGGCAGAAAATATGGAAATTTCGATAGCATGTGTCGTCTATATTGGGAACACTAATCTTTCAAGACCATATTTCAAAAATAATGGAGATACTTGGGAGCATCAATAACTGAACGGCCAAAAATTTCAGGACCTTTAAGAAAGGTAAAACAATTTCAAACTTCAACTATAGCATCAAGAAACTTGGATAGAGAAAAATAAGTTCAAACTAAATGAGTACTTATAGCTTGATACATTGTCAGCTGTTTCATTTATTGGTATAGATTCATTAAGCTGAAGAAGGAAATCGTTCCACATTATTTAGTTATCTGAACACTGGTAATTCTAGCCAACAGAATGACCCAAAATTGCAAACTAGAACAATAAGAACTGAAATCAATCTTGGACCTAAATTGATGCCAAACATCTCTGCATATGTCATCCTTTATTCATAGAACCATATCAACTTCGAGAATGCTTCATTTGAACTTGTCGAGCTAAAAACATTGCAGGGTCTCCAGGAAAAGATCGTTTCACCACGTTAATAATCATAGTTTGCAAGAGACTGGGTGAGGGCAGTAGGAAGGGGTGAGAGCAAAGAAACATCAATGCTCATGGCCTCCAAGTAGGATTGACTTGTGCCTATGTGTTTTTCTCTTTTCAAGAGGAGAGTTTGATACATGGAGAAACCTAGAGAACATAAATCTGCCGTACCAAGTGCATGCATAACCTCTTACTCTTATGTAAGAGGAACTCATGGATTTATAGAAATCACGTGATCGATCCCTTGGAGTTTTGGCAAAGTAATATTAAACCACATGAATTTTTCAAAACCTGTACAATGAAAATGCGGTTCTGCCTTTGTAAGCCAGTCTTGTTCCGTCCTAAACTTCACTAAAAGAAAACCCTATTAGGTGATATTTGACAATAACCAATTACAGACTGGGCTTAAATTCTTTCTGCACGAATTCAGTTAAATACGTCGTGATTATTTAATTAAAGCATCAAGTGTCATATTACCATAAACAAAATTAAACCCCCAAAATTAATCTGAATTTAATTGTTGGAATGAGAAGTAAACACACAAAAACACCCTTGAAACAGATACAGACTGGGCTTAAATTCTTTCTGCACGGATTCAGTTAAATACGTCGTGATTATTTAATTAAAGCATCAAGTGTCATATTACCATAAACAAAATTAAACCCCCAAAATTAATCTAGATTTCATTGTTGGAATGAAACAGGAAGTAAACACAAAATAAACCCTTGAAACAGATCATGAACATATGTGTGAAGGATGATAGTCGATCAAACTAAAAGATTTTTTTTTATAGATAATCACGTAAATTTTATAAATAAAAAACAAAAGATAATACACAAGGAGTGTATTTTCAAGTTAAACAAGATAGAAACGATAAAAAATTAGGCANGAGTGCATTATCAGGTTAAACAAGATAGAAACGATAAAAAATTCGACAACCCTTCTATCAGACTAATGGTTGCAGCCTTAAACCAGCTATACAAAGTCAAGTAAAACAATTCTCTAAATTATTCTGTCGTCCGTATTTGGTCTTTAAAGCATCTGCCGTTTCTTTCTCTGCACACACACCAAACAATGCATCCTGGAATGAGATCCCAAACAAGCTTGCTATTCTTATCTTGAAACTTTCTCTTCCATACCCACACCATCTCCTTGATACTCCTTGAGAACACCCAACTCATATGTTGCGACGCCAGAATATCATTCCACAACCAACGAACACCTTCACGGTGAGTGAATAAGTGATCGATCGTTTTTCCATCCCTCTTACACAAATAGCACCATTCCATTATACAATATCCCTTTCTTCGAAGATTATCCGCTGTTAACACCTGTCCCCTCCCAACCGTCCACAGTAAGAAAGCCACCCTTGGAGGTAATTTACTTTGCCAGACCCTTTTCCAGGGAATGAACTTTACAGGTTCTACTAAGGATTTGAAATAAGTATGAACAGAGAACAAATCATTCTGTGCAGCCCTCCACCTGCTACAGTCATCCTCTCCTACCTGAATGTGCGCCTCATAAAGGGAGGCAAAAAACAATGCATAATGATCCAGCTCCCAATCATGTAAGCCCCTCTCGAAAGCGATGTTCCAGCTAGGATTCCCATTAGATATAGCCATAGCATCACTCACCATAACTACAGGCCCCAGGGCAATGCGATGTAAAGAGGGAAGCCACACTTTCAATGTTTTATCTCCGCACCAACAATCGTCCCATAATCTGACATTCGTACAGTTCCCCACCACAAAAGCCAACCTATTCTGAAAATCGCTTCATCATTTCCTGATATACCTCCACAAGCTCATCCCATAGGAACCACGGCCCTCACCCGAGCACCACCCCCCCCTCCAAGACACCATATTTCTCCCCAATAATTCCTCTCCAGAAGCTCTCCCTCTCCATTCCAAATCGCCACAGCCACTTACCCAATAAAGCTTTGTTATATAAAACAAGGCTCCTCAAACTAAGACCTCCCACCCTAACAGGGGAACAAACATCACCCCATTTGACCAAATGAAACTTCCTCTCTTCCCCCAACCCTGCCCAAAGAAAATCACTCTGCATCTTCTCCAAAATATTTGCCACTGCAACGGGAATAGGAAACAATGATAGAAAATAGGTTGGAAGGCTAGAAAGCGTGGATTTGATGAGAGTTAGACGGCCTCCTTTGGACAGATAATCAACAGAATATCAAGATGAACAAGGGAAACATTATCCACACAATCAGAAGTAGAAGATGACTAGAAAATGAGAACGCATAGGCTAGAAAACGTGGATTTGATGAGAGTTAGACGGCCTCCTTCGGACAGATAATCAACAGAATATCAAGATGAACAAGGGAAACATTATCCACACAATCAGAAGTAGAAGATGACTAGAAAATGAGAACGCATCAGGATAGAGATTCTGACAAGGTAGTGATCGGTTTCAGAGCATCTGTCAAGGTAGTGATCGGTTTGGGACTTTCTTTTTTTTATAATCGTGGATGTCCGAGCCAGTTTGAGCGCACCTCAACTAATCTCATGGGGCCCCAAAGTTTACGGTCGGATACTCATCTCAGTGGCCCTAAGGGGGCACGAACTGGTGACCATTGGAGAGCAAACTTAAGATCTAACCAATTGAGCAACCCCTCAAGATTAGTTTGGGACTTTCTCTACTGATGCATTTGGGGATGTGTCTGCTGGACTAAGATCCTTTCAAATTTTTGATAACTCCGAACCAACGGTCTTGTTTTAACCAGTTCACTTTTGAGTTTTTATTTCAGATTGATATTCTTCCAGGTATGAAGCATTTCAGACATTCCTTATGGAAACAAACATCTGAAATAGAGAAGCAGAAGTTTAACACAAGTTTAAGAAGTTCAGATCACTGAGTCAAAATTCCAAGATCCTAGCATCAATATCCGCTATCAGAGACAAATCCATCCAAGACATCCTAATTCATCTTCTTCGAAACCTTCAGCTTCTTAACAATTTAAGTAACATAATAATTTTTCCTCCATAGTGTCAAGCTCGAGAAACAACTATGGTATTCTATTGGAAACTGGTAAGTTTGCTAAAAATTCACTTCATAAAGATGAGTACAATTTGCAAGCCTTTTGCCCTTAATCAATCTAATTCTGAGACACAATCTGTTAATAAATCTTTTTTAGACCCTTCCATTAGGCCTGAAACCAAATCGGCCCTGGCTTGTGATCGTGGACATGGCTCCGCATGTTCTGCTATGCCTCTCCCTCCTCTCGACATAACCCAAATTTTTTCTTCTACACCACCTCATATTCAAGACAGTCTGCTACTTTTGTTCACCCTAGTGGAATACAGCAAGCTTATTAATGAAGATGTGAAATTTGGGGCTTCACAATTGCGCCCTAATATGAGTAGACAGTTTCCTTTTGAATATAGGGGATTATGACGAATATTTTCTTACCTATCATCAAGGCACTTTGATGGAGATCAGCTAACTCTGAGCATGCTGTGATTATGAGCCTTGTTAAGAGGTAACGGCAGAGAAAGGGGCATCACGATATATGATAACGAAAAGTGTGCCAATTACTACGCTACATGAAATTCAGAGACGTTTCTATTTCATCATTTGCACGAGGTCAGGCTTGATTTCCACCTCTTGTATTGTATTTTATTTTTCAATATTAATAAAATTTCAATCCTCTTGATAGTTTGATTTTATTTTATTTTTTTAATAAAAAGGCATTAGTTGGGAAATGGTTTAAATATATTAGATAAATGGAGATTATTTAAGAAGGTGGCGGTTTTTGAGTTTAGAAAAGAAGGCATTAACAATGATATGCTAAGGCCTTCAAAAGGAGCCACACTAGTTGACTCTCACCATTTTAATAATGATGCAAACAAGGAACATTGCAAACAAGGAACATGGAGGGAGTGAATTTCCGCTGGAGATGAACTAAAAGTCTAAACCTATAAAGCTGCAATAAAGGCATGAGTACTTATGAGCAAGATAAAGGAGCACAAAGTCTACTAGTCTAGTATCACTTTTGTTCTCGTGTTCTCATCAACTATTATTCACAACCACGTGGGAGCAGACTCGTCATGGCTAAAGTAAAAGAAACAAGGACCTTTAACACTAATCTCTTATCAATTCCTTATGAGCCTATATTTTATCAATCTTCACCCAACAGAATTCAATGGGTTTGGTTGGTATCCATACTATTAGTGCTATAAGACTAAGATATATTGCCACTCATATGCATGAATGAATTTCAGACAGATGACAAATCGTTTTCTTCATCAATCTTCACCCAAGAGAATTCAATGGGTTTGGTTGGTATCCATACTATTAGTGCTATGAGACTAAGATATATTGCCACTCGTATGCATGAACAAATTGCAGACAGATGTTTGGCCTCCTTTTACTTTATATATTCAAATATATATTCACTAATTGATCATCTCCATTGTATTAAACACTTCTAACATAAGCTCGAGATAGGATATAAAGTTTCTCTAATGTAACTGAAAGAAATTAGTTCGAAGTTTCTTTAGAATTGCACAATCTATGTGTATGTCTGTATAGAGACGGAGAGGATACTTACTATATTTTTGGATAGATGGGCGATCAGATTGCACAGAACCAGAAGTCCATATATCAGGACAGTCAAGCGACACAAGAGACGGAGACATTAGAATTGAGTTACTAGGATTGATTAGTGATGTACTAAAAGCTCTCAATGACAATGAGGTCACAAAACTCTTCCTTGACCATATCTGCCATAAAACTGCCACGCTTTGAACTCTTGTGGTTGACATTGTTATTCTAGATAGTTCCTATTCATACTGCTACTAAATTATCAGCCTTCCCAACTGTCCACAATGTTCTCGCACTTCCATCTGCATCATATAATATCACCAACATCAGCTAAAAGATTGATATAATGTTCAGGTATCTAAAAGAATTTCACCCGAGCTTAATGGGGACTCTGTAATGAATGGTCCTAGGAACAAAATCAAGTACTTGCTCAATTGAAATGAATAAGGTACAGCTCAAGCTTTTTCATAAGATTTGAGCTATTTGTGTGCTGCTAGTTCATTCATAGCACTAAACCACAGATTTAAGACATGCACTTCATGACCTTTGACAAATGTAGAAGATTTTAACTAGTGAACACTATTCGCCAACATTTAGCAAGAATAAAACTACCCCGAATTATTGCAAAGTCTAGATTGGAATTCAAGCAATACCAGAATATAAGCAATGTCCTGGGCACACTCCCAGAACCATGTACACTCTACTTCACTATTTCAAGAAATAAAAATTCATATCTCATTTTCAAATGTCAAAATATTAGAAAGTAGATTATGCTAATCCCGTATTATTTAAACATTCTTTTAGGCATTTCATCGAACATCGCATTCACGTCGTCATCGAATTGCGATCAAATTTTGAGACAACTACATCTTTGAACCTAAGACAGAGTACAAAAGCACTATAAAGAGGATTAAACTATTAAAATATAGATATCAAACATAAATACTGCTTTCGCAACTCGGCGGAAAACGCAATCAAAATCCAAATAAGAGATACCTTTGCAGCAAAAACAATTACTATTCATTATAATTCTGCATATTCTTTGACTCTTCAGAGCCACGGCATACATTATAATAGAAAATTCAGGTACGAGTATCGTCAAATCGAGCAAAAGAGGTCGCGTGTATGCGGGGGGTGAAAGTGATAATAAAGAGGAAATTTCTTGTCCAAATTCCGTTCCATCCATATATGGGCCTCCAAACAGTCCTATCGTGCAAGGTGCAGCTCATAATTTTGGAAAGAAATTGGTATTTTATTCAGGCCATGTTTGATAGTACCCAAATTTCATAGAACTAGAAATTGATTTTTCATTTTCCACATTTTTACTTGTTTGATTGACAAAATTTTCTTGGCAAATTGTTTTCCACCCAACCCCTTTTTGGCCATTTTTCTTGGTTTTTGAGAATAATCAATTCCCACTAATTTGATGGGATTTGGTTTTTCATGCTACTTTTTTTTTTTCAAAATTTTTTTGGCATGGAAACAAATTCTATCCTTAATTGTAACAAATTATATCAATTTGATGAACAATTTTTATGTAAAATAAAGTCAAACGAATACAAAAAAATCCAAAATTTCAATATTTTCCATGAAAAATTATATTAATCAAATACAATTAATTGACAATTCCCAGAAAAACAATTCTATGCAATTCAATTCCCTGAAATTCATTTTCTTTCCACCCAAATTTCACTCTTACAATCAAACGGACCCTTAGGGTAAATTAGAGATGAGATCCCCAACCTTTTAACGTGGTGTGTATATGGGTTTTCAATCTGTTTTATGACCTTCTAGAGGTAATTTATATGTGGTGTAATTGAATAAGAAAAATATAGATTTTGGAGTTCTCCAACTCATTTGGTCCAATATTAGTAATTTTTGGAATCAATGATTTCGTTAGTCAAGAATCAATTTTCAACATTCGTGCGAGAATCAACGAGTATTTAATTTTTTTCTTCATTCTTGTAATCTCGCCTCTCATTGCATTGACAAACTCTGTTAATATTTTTCAAGTACTAAAAATTGTTCCAAGTTTGAAATTAGATTATTTCGTTGTCAAATTAGAATCTGTGTATGATTAGTATTCTTTCAACTGCATCTAATGACACCCTTATTTATAGCACTATGAGTAAATAGAGGGACAAAAATTATCCATATTTACGCATTTTATAATGAAAAATGCTAAATGTACATGGGAGTGTCCCGTTTACGTGTAGTATCTCTCTTTTATAATTTGGCGTGCAAAGTTTTGCATGATATAACTCAACTAAAAGTAGGACATGATTTCTACATTGCATGAGATATTTATACACACGATGTTGACATAAGATGGTGGGACGTGGGTTGCCTTCTCAGGGATTCTAACTATTTCATTATGATTTTTAACGTCTATACAATGACTTGTCCATTTAGGAAATGCATACTTTTAGTTCACTCAGATTTATTTTTTTTTTTGATCGGTAAATGTGAATTATATAGATCAAAACAAATGTACATGTACACCGGGCTAGCCCAGGCAAGTCACAGAAAACAAACAAGTAACACAGCTACTCCAGGTATATCCGGGTAGGAAGGAGGTATCACAATACGCTACTCAACAAGCTCTAGCGCTAAAGACTCATAAAGAATGTAAGGTTCTTGGACACTCATCTAATGGGTGTTATAACAAAAACAAGCAGCAGGGAGATGCAGGGGCTGATGCCAAAAAGGGATTGAATACTGAGAATAGGGGTAAAGGGACGGCCTCGAATCAGGAAACTGCTAATGCCAGCGCTGAAACTGTGACAAAGGAAAAAGAACAGGCGGAACCTAGTGCCTCGAATCAGATTTTTGTTCATGAGGAAGTTGTTTATCCAATAACATACACGCACTAGTGCCTACATTCTATTCATGTTGTCTATAGCATTACTAAACCACTGTTTGTGTTGCCAATATGTTCGGATGCAAGAAAAATGTCACGCGACATTTTTGACATGTTGGATCATCAGTATTTCAGTCACTTCAACTAAATTCTTGGATTTGCCTTTGTCCATCACAAATCTCTACACGTGCCCACACGAGTTATCTATATTTAGGGCTTGAGTGGAAGCGATTATTTAAAAAGTGATTGTGTGAGGAATGTAGAGTTAGAAATGATGAGGAAAAAGTGATTTATTAATAATCACTTTTAAAGTAGAACAATGAATAAGGAATTGAAATCCCATGTGTGCGAGTAAAAAATTAGAGAGAAGTTATATGTATAGGGTCGGAAGTCACAGACAACTCACACATAAATTGTGGGTAATGTTTTTTACTTTTTTATTGAGGTGGGTCGTGGGAGGGTGTAGGGACCCATCTCACGTGGGAGGGTGTAGGGGTTCTGCGAATCTCTATCCCTGTTCACGGAGATTAATTCAAAAATTTATGGTAATTGAAGATTTTAACTAGAAACCTAAATATGTAAGTACACAACAAGTGAATACGTTAACATCTTG